TTTTTCTATGTGGACATGAAACAAACGCTAGCTTGCGAAATGATATGTAACGATACGCTACCTGAATCTGTCACGTTTTACATTTCACAGAGACAGCTCTGTTTACGTTTCAAGGACAGCTGTGTTTACGGTCAGCTTGCTAGACAGGTGTCAATGACCCGAGATGACCTTGGAGAGGTACAACATTCTTGAAGAAAATGGCGGCTGGCGTGCTCTCGTCAGAGATTCTTTACCTTCCCCGTTTAAATCTCCAGACGTCTCTTGTGTTCATCCTTGCCTTTCTTCTAGCGTGGTTGTATCTCAAACGCCCGAGGAACCTGCCTCCCTACCCGGCAGGATGGTGGCCTGTTCTCGGGCACCTCCTCGCCTTGGGCCGAGCGCCTCACCTCAAGCTGACGGCGTGGAGGCGGGAGTACGGGGACGTCTTTACTGTTAGGATCGGGACGGAAGATGTGGTGGTTCTGAACGGCTACACTGCCGTCAAGGACGCGCTCGTGGATAGGTCCGAGTTGTTCGCCTCCAGGCCGACAAATTACATATTCGACCTCATCACTGGGTTTGGGAAAGGTATGTGTTACTAAACCTGCTTCAAGGTCAACGTTTTGTTGTGGATTCACGCATGAATGATTCGTGGCGTCAAGTTTCTGCTCTGGCCAATGCATTTCACTGGCAGTATGCTGAGTTATATCTCGTATCTTGTTCACCATAGCTATGTACCCTACAGGCATTTTACATTTAGTTTTTGTAATAGTGCAATTATACTACTGCATTTAGCAGCCCATGTTGTCAAGAGCATGCATCCTACTAGCCGTGGACGACTCTAGTAATCCTTTTTGCATGATAATTCCAGATACAGAGTCGTGGGGCACTCCATAGGCCAAAACCAACCTTTGCCGTGCCATGCCGGGCCTCATGCAACGGGCCGGCCCCGGATTTTTGGTGTCCCTGGCTTCCCGACGCACTCACCTGCTAATTTGTCCCTGTTTAGCGGGCCGATTCTTGAATTCAACATGGCGCCGATCGTCTAGGATTTGTATGGAGTTACGTGCTCTAAGGCCGTGTTGCGGTTAAATGCTGCGTTTGTTTAGGGTCTTATCCCCCCGGCCCGGCAGGTGAGTGCGTCGGGAAGCCAGGGACACCAAAAATCCGGGGCCGGCCCGTTGCATGAGGCCCGGCACGGCAAAGGTTGGTTTTGGCCTATGGAGTGCCCCACGACTCTGTATCCGGCATTATCATGCAAAAAGGATTACTGGAGTCGTCCACGGCTTGCATCCTACATACTACTTTCGTCATAAATCCTATCTGTTGCATACATGTACATGGACGCACCAGGTGTGGGTAGTGCACGGTGGGGAAAACCCTTCAAACAGAAGAAAAAGTTCGCCTCCACAGTCCTGAGGACTCTCGGTGTGAAGGAAGGCCTGGGCAGCATGGAGGGGAAGATTCGAGAAGAGACGGGCTGCCTCTGCGCCAAGGTAGATTCCTCACATATTTTCGCATGTTTAGGCCACACCGACATAATTTTATGGATGGCATCCTCTGAAAACCAACAAACTAGTGCGCGCAGGCGAATAAAAAAAAAATTCCGGTCAAAAATAAAAATACTACTAAACCAAAGGAATACAAAGCTGGTATTGTGAATTTGCAACTGAGTTCTTGAGTCGTGAAGCTTCGATAGCCTGGGTGCCCAGCTCCGTATTGTCGCTAACTACCGTGGACTACCCAGGCCTAGAGCCAGGCAAGAGCCTCGGAGAATGTGATCTTTTTTTTTAGGACGACATGAGAAAAATCAATGTGCGCGCGGACACTACCAGGTGCATAAATGTGAAAATTATGTGAATTTCGTGCAAAATTTCAAGGAAATGTGAAAAAATGTGATGTAATGTGAATTTTTTTGAGGTTCAACAGCATCACATTTTATTACATAAGTTCACAGAAAATCATATAAAATAACATTTCTGAAGCGCGACACCTTTATGTGAAAAAATGTTATTATTTTGCGTCACATTTTTTTCACATTTGCAGTGAACGGTCCAGAAAAATCACATTTTCAAATGTGAAAAGATGTTATCTAAATGTGATGTTGGATCTCCTCCCATTATGTGAAATTATGTGACTGCCTGTATGTTCTTTTTCCGCCGATGTCTATGTGATTTTTATGTGAAACGTAGTCTCAGTGAAAATGTGAAACAATGTTAACCTGAGTCACATTTTTAAAAATGTGTCTTCATGTGAAAGTTATGTGAAATGGGTTTGACTACAAAATGTGAAAAGATGTGAAGACATCTGGCATTCCGCGAAATGTGAAATTTATGTGATGTTCACGAAAACGCAAAATGTGAAAAAATGTGACATCAAATCACATTTTTGACATGTGAAATAAATGTGAAATTAATGTGATTCGTGATTACACAAGACCGGGAATCATGTGAGTTGACAGAATATGTAAAAGGTAAGTGTACTTGTGGGTCTTCTCCACTGAATGGGCTAATCATGATCATTTGTGGGGCAAGCGCGCGAATGTGTATTGTAAACAATACAGGCCTATTACCTTATTGTATGATGTGATTATTATCTATCATTCAGTACTAATCAACGAACAAAAGGTGTGAAAACCCCCTCCACTCCCTCTCGCGTGCCACTCTTGTGTTGCTAATTATCCATTTTACAAGTGAAAGCGCCGAATATCGCGACACATTGATAGTTTGGCCAAGGCCAGTCAAGGCGTTTAAAACACTAAAGTAAAGAATCACATGTTTGAAACCCTTTGGTCCATTTTGTAATGGCAGTCTGTACAAAATCTCATGTAAGCATCATGAAATACATCAAGTTAATGCTTTAAACTTATACAGTATCTTGAAGAACCGAATTAATGAGTCCCCAAGTCACTCGTTAGGACAAGTAAACAAATAAACTCGCAAACTCGTGCCAGATATTTCCGTCCCCGACCCGTTATTAAGGGAATCCCTGGTATGCACCGAAAAAGTACAAGATTAAAACTAGAATGGGGAGTTCAGCCTCCTTAATTTTTNATAGGCAAATGTGAAATTATGTNAAGAAGCATTTTCACATAAAATAACATTCTGACCTCTTATGTGAAAAAAATGTGATTTGAACTTCACATAATTTCACATTTGACTCCTTTCAGTTTGCGGGGTAAAACCGCTTCACATTTCTTCACATCTTCTCACATTTTGAATTCACTATTTTTTTTGGCCATGTTTTCGGGTTGTGTGATTTCACATAATCGATTCACATTTTTCAAACAGTTACATTGTTTCACATAAAATAACATTTGACGATTCACATTTTGAAAAAAAATCACATTTTGGGTTTCACATATTTCTAATGGGATTCACATTACATCACATTTTTTCACATTTCATTAAAATTTTGCACGAAATTCACATAATTTTCACATTCATGCACCTGGTAGTGGGATGTCATCCATAAAATTGAGTCGGTGTGGCCTTACTGATAACATTCGGTCCTTGCGTATTATATTTTTTATTATAGCGCTTGCTAAAGAGGCAGTGACTCTTCTGAGAAGTACGTTGAGCTCCTTCTAGAGAAAATCTAGATCAAACCCCTTTATTGGTGGTGAAAATTCCTATCATTCCACTCAGCAAAATATCGTGATATTATTCTTTATCTGCCTGTTGTAATATTCTTTATCTAGAAGTAAAACGGTTGAATCATTCAACAAGTCCATTACGTTCTCGCTACGTTTTTTTTTCTCGTGTAGGTTGATTTCATTTCATTTTATTTATTTATCCAGGGGTAGCATATCGCCAATGGCGGTTTTCAACCCTCCCTGTACAGAAACAATACATAATATAATAACAGAAAAAGTAAAAGAGCTAACTTGGGTACAATCATAATCGTCGTGATAATAAAAGGAACAAAGAAATATAAAATAATAAATAATATAAAATAAATAATAAATAAATATAAATATAAATATAAAAGAAACAGGACAAATTAATAACGTACAGAAAACAAACTGAATAATATGACAAACGATGTAAATGATAGGAACAAAAAATATAAAAGAATAAATAAATATAAAATAAATAATAAATAAATAAATATAAATATAAAAGAAACAGGACAAATTATAACGTACAGAAAACATACAAACTGAATAATATGACAAATGATGTAAATGATAGGTTGCTGAAAATGGAGGCCAGCCCTTTGATCCCCAGAGTGACCTGCAGGTCACTATAGCGAACGTCATCTGCTCCATGGTGTTCGGAAATCGCTTTGACTACGGCGACGAGCGGTTCAGGGAACTGTCAGAGGCGATACTTGTCACGATGGACCGACTGGGAGCCGGGCAGGTCATTAACGTGTTCCCGTTCCTGCGATTTGTCCCTGGGGGTAAGTACAATGTATCTGCTTGAAGGTTCATCTGAGTCGGTAAATTACATTATAAAAAATTTAAACTGTTCTCCAACTCTATTTCAACCTTCGCTCATGCTGGGGTCACAATTCCCATACGGGGCCCGGTCGGGCAGCTTTTGGGAGCAAAAACTACGATACAGAAGACAACAAAACATCGAAAAGTTCTTAATAACAATCATGTGCTCTATTTCTCTATATTCTTGATAAGAATAGTTAATTTTTCGTTCGCACAGACAGCCCGGCCGGGCCCCGGTTTTGAAATGTGACCTAAGCATCAACCGGGACGGGGGGCAATATCGGCTTTAGACAACCTTTGACCCTTTACTGACGTCACATGCGGGGAAAATCACGTGTCCACAGCATTTTAGTCAGATAGCTGAGGAAGACTGAGTGATTCAGTCGAAAATTCCGGTGAGTGAAATTTATGAGTTGGAGAACAGTTTAAATTTTTCATAATACAATGTATCTGTTGAAAGTATAAAGTTTTGTTTCACACACAAGGGAAATGTTCTCACATAGAGGTTTTGATCAGTCACTCTGGTCTTATTCAATAGACTGACCCAGTGAGATTTGTCATGTGGAACAAAATTTTAAATGAACATTTATGATACAGTGTATCTGTTGTAATTCTAGCCGAGTGCTAGCATATCATTGAGCTACTTTCAGGCTTAGAAATAACTTGAACTTAATCATTCATCAGTTTCCCATCCCCAGAATGCAATGCGAAAATAGGGGGTCTAAACTCATTTGCATATTTGTTGTCAGATGTCCCCCATAGTAATCTAATTAACGTTGAGCATAAAATGCCCCAACACCCCAAAACACAGTGAAAAGCAAGCTGTTTGACGTCAACAGGATCATTGCGATGCCTTCCTGTCCTATGCAAATGAGTTTAGACCCCCTGTTTTCGCATTGCTTTCTGGGGTTGGGAAACTGGTGAATAGGCAGCGAATGCTATTAGGTATTTTCTGCCTTGTTGTTATAGAGAAAGCATCCAAGTGTCCAGCCCTTCACGTTAAGTCTAAAAATAACTTATATTTCTCCCCATTTCAGTGAACAGGTCTCTCCACGATGTAAACAAGTGTAGCGCGAAGATCCACGAGTTTCTCTGGGAGGAAATCTCGCGCCATCGCCAGGCCCTGGACCGCGAGAATCCGCGAGACTTCCTCGACTATTGCCTGGTCGAACTTGAAAGGCAGGAAAAGGTGGAAGATTTCACCGAGGAACAAGTGCTATATCTCGTGTACGACGTTTTCCTCGCTGGACTGGACACACTCTCCAACACAGTGCGATGGTGTCTGCTGTACATGATCATGTACCCAGACGTCCAAGAGAAGGTACATGTCTGTTGATTCTATGAAGACGAAATACACTTTATCTCAAACTGTTCCTTTCATATCAACGCTTGAAATGAGTTGACTATTCAAACTTCTACAATTTACCACAGTTTTACTAAACTTCCTTTACCTTCCGAAACCCCAATAATTTTGGAAAAGGTGGGACATTACGTCTTCCATGGTCTAAAAAGGAGAAGTCAAACCCCTAAGATATAGTCTTAAACATAGCTATAGCTCTAGACAACTATCATTTATCATGTACATTTTAGTTATTTTATACTCTGTTTCATTGTTCTTTTATGTTTGTAATTTGCAATTAGCCTCTGGGCACGAATTTGCAATAAACTTCTTATTAAGAATAAATTACGATACTAACGCGTTACTCTCCAAGCAGAAGTTAGGTCTGTTTGATCTTGTTTAAAAGCCTTTTTATGAGTTTTGTCGGGTCTCTCTATTTTGCCAACTTTCTTGGAAGGTATCCTGGCCTTATAGTAAATCCTCAAAGTACAAAACATGACTGGACTCCCAGAAACAGACCTAACTGCTACTTGAAGAGTACTTAATACGTGTATTTATTTAGATAAACAATGCTAACACCTTTTCACTGTTACCTGCTTTCTCACGGCTCAACCAACCTCACATGTAGGTCCAGTCGGAGCTTGATGCCGTTGTTGGAGGCGCCCTGCCCACCCTGTCCCACCGTGCCCGGCTGCCTTACACCCAGGCCACTGTGATGGAGGTACAGCGGATCCGCCATGTTGGTCCTCTCGGTCTGCCTCACGCCACCACGCAAGACGTCACAGTGGGCCAGTTCCATCTACCGACGGGAGCTAAGGTTAACTATATAGAACAGCGAGCAGATTATTATTGGACTGAGCAGAGCACTTTGGACTAATCTCTCTGGCTGTTTACAGTTTAGAGGTATATATCCAATATTTTGTCAAAAACCTCTCTGTTACATAGCGGATCATAATGACCCCCAGTGGGGGGTCTTCACGCTTCGTTAAAATGGAAAAAAATCTCAAGAATTATTCCAAAGATCTCAATACTGTAACAGAGAAGTTTTTAACAAAATATTGAATATGTTCCTCTAAGCTGTAAACAGCCAGAGAGATTAGTCCAAAGTGCTCTGCTCAGTCCTGTTATTTAAACCACGCTGTGTCAATGTTCCAACTCTCATCACATGTATGGCACAGCCTAGGAATAGAAAATAGGCATCTAATACAAGTAAAACATGACAGAAAAGGGGCATCAAAAGTCACCTACCTGAGTTTAGGCCATCCAACTCACACATTGACTGGGTAGCACATCATCTAAACTGTCTATTTAGACCAAAATTTCAAAATCCTACGCACCTAAACATAGTTAGAATTATTGTTTACAATGGATGATGACCTCTGACCTCCCATGGACAGCACAGCAATGCATGTAAACATATATCTTCTTTTCTGTGCTGGACATCTCAAACATGGCTGAAAGTCTGTTTTCTCAACAAAATAAAAATTCAAGAAACCTTACCTGTACCATCCAGCTCCAAAAAGGCAACATTTTCCCCAAAAAATACTTTTTTACATTTGGTTTTGTCTTGCCTATCTCTATATACTAAAACGTGCACCAATAGACATGCGCGGATTCCTGGCCTTTGCCCTGTATGGATGGAAACAAGTCGCCACAAATGCTTATGCATTTTTTGTGAAACCTTACTGAACCCTTCTCTCATCATACTATTGAACTCATGATCATCAAGAGCTAGGAGAGAAGACGATTGGGTCTAGGCAATCTTTGGGTTACACTACTACTGCTACCTTGTACAATTCTCGTCTTGAGGGATTATACTTATTTATAGTCGCTGAACTCTAGCGGCGGCTTCCTCCATCCTTTCCTGTCCTTAGATTCCTCTGTATACAGTCTGATAGTGATCAGCCTGCCATTTTGTTTATTTGTTTATTTGTTTATTATTTGCACGTATAAAAAAAGCTACATAATCAAACAATAACAATAAGAGAATATGTGGGGTAGGCCAGAAACCTAGGTGGTTTTTAAAGGGCCTACCCCAAACAAAGGTAACTATGATACATGACAAAACATATTCAAATTAAACATCAGAATTAAACAATGAAAAAATTGATTAATCAAACAAAATCAAGACACAGAAATAATAACTGAAGTGTGTAAACTAGTTTTTACATCTACGAAAAGAAATTTTTAAAAGTCTTATAATTCAGGTCGCTGTTGCAGAAACTGATTAGATAATTGACATAAAAATTAACGATTAAAACAAATGATTAAAAAAACAAGGAAAACAAACAAATCAGATTGTAGTGATACTGGGGTTTTGTAAGAAAAAAATTTTAAAAATTCTTTTTTTATTAAACAGGAATTGACCATTCCCTGGTTTGTTTTGTCCCAATTTATTTTACTGACATTTCTTTTCCAACTTGCTACAGGTCATGACGAACCTGCACTCCCTCCACATGGACCCCGCCTACTGGCCGGATCCGGACCGGTTTGACCCCGGAAGGTTTCTGGACGCAGAAGGAAAGATCATTAACAAACCGAAGTCATTCATGCCATTTTCTGGAGGTAAGTATTCTAAGACTTATCATGAAAGTTCATCTGTGTTGGTACAAATCATTATGAAGTAAAGACTAAGCTTTAACTTCTAACACTTAGATTATAGAATTGGGACTTACCCCAAATTTTCAGTTGATCATGACTCCATCAACCTTGTTCACGGAATGGACCCGTCTACTCTTGGAACGTGACGTCAGAGACAAGTAGTAGCGGGTCATACGCGCCAGATAACTAGACAGAGACGGGGGGCGACACAAGTTATCTGGCACGTATGATCCGCTACTACTTGTCTCTGACGTCACGTTCCAAGGGTAGACGGGTCCATTCCGTGAACAAGGTTGATGGAGTCAACCGAAAATTTGGAAATTAAAGCTTTGTCTTTAATACATAAGTATTCTTAGACGTTTATCCCAAGTTTTGTTACGTCACTTCCAATGCTTAATAATGTAAAAATGAGAGACAATGAGAGTCAATGGGTGTCAATGAGAGACAGAAGAAAATGTCCAGACCATGTATGATTTATGAAATAACTAATAAACTGGTGGACGTACCAACTACTAGGTACATATTACCAGCCAAAAATAGAACAAGGAATAGTCATGCCTATAGCACAAGAGTTTGATATCACCCAAGAATTGAGGTGTTCAAAAACTTTCTTCCTTGAGTGGAACTCGCTGTCACAAAGTAAAGCATGAGCTTTAAACAATGTTTACAGTAAAATGCAGCTGCCGCCGCACCGCATGCCTGCGAAGCTGGTGACTGTTACGCCGAAGGGCGGTTATACTTGCTGTACAGATACAGAAGCTGGTGTGTTACGCCGAAGGGCGGTTATACCGGCTATACAGATACAGAAGCTGGTGTGTTACGCCGAAGGGCGGTTATACCGGCTATACAGATACAGAAGCCGGTGTGTTACGCCGAAGGATGGTTATACCGGCTATACAGATACAGAAGCTGGTGTGTTACGCCGAAGGGTGGTTATACCGGCTATACAGATACAGAAGCTGGTGTGTTACACCGAAGGGTGATTATACCGGCTATACAGATACAGAAGCTGGTGTGTTACACCGAAGGGTGGTTATACCGGCTATATCCAGATACATATAGAGGCCCTTCAATGCACTGTGATATCTCTCCAGGAAGACGCACGTGCCTTGGAGAGCAGCTCGCCAAGATGGAGCTATTCCTGCTGTTCTCCAGCCTGCTGCAGAACTTCACCTTCAAGCCGCCAGAGGGCGCCCCTCCACCGTCTGATGAGGGCATAATGAGAATCACACTGATGGCTCACCCCTTCAAGCTGTGCGCAATTCCACGTTGAATCGTTATCTGAGGGCCTGCATGGGGGTAGTGATTACGAATTACGCAAAATTTTCGGAGGCTGCCTACGGTTTGCGAAGACTAAAAGGCCTGATTACGCCTTACGAAAAAGGGCATGCAGGCCCTCTTATCTCGCTTCGAAACACAATGGTGATGGGACGATTTATTTGCATCATTGTTATTTTTCTTAACAACCCTTCCTTACCCTTGTCACTGCTGCCTGATTACCTCCATGAAAAATGGAGGTATTGCTTTTGGCGTGTCTGTCTGTCTCTGTGTGTACATGTGTTTGTGTTTCCGCACATTTGTAGTCAGCATAACTTCAGAACGCCTTTATGGATTGTGATAATATTTGGTATGCTGGTAAGTCTTAGGAAGACGAAGATCAAGGTCAAATATGGGCCTCCTGGTGGATGACCTTGGTACTGCAGCAGAACTTCCGGTTTTTGTATCTTTTGTCCTGAACATGCTATGGTCTTGATTTTTTTGGTGACAGATAGCTTTTCCTGTCAGGAATAAGTGGTGTGGGTTTGGTCTCCCTTGCGGCTTGTTCTGGAACTGCAGGGGACTTTCTGGTGAAATCTTTAAAAGCCAGATGGGAACAACGTATTTTCGTCATTTTTGGTGTGTAGGTAGCTGAGAGAGAGAGAGTTGTCCAGAATCAAATGCATATTATGCAAATAAAGAATGAGATTTTATAAGTACGGTGTTTTATATTATAGTACTTTATACATGTAATTTGTTTAATCTATGGCAGGCGGAACATCAACAGATACCAATTATGCAAATAATGATCTAATTTGCATATTTAATATTTTAATTCTGCGACTTCTTATTGGTGAATGATGAGAACTTTATACCTTGTGACATGTGTAAGTTACCCAAAGATTAACACGACTATGTATATATTATGTTAATGTAGAGGTCATTTACATTAAATGAGGACATGTTGAAATAAGGTATGACAAAGGAGAGGAGTTTTACACTAGAAATATTGTCATTTAAATTTAGAAAATCTAAATTAAACTAGACTATCCTAATAACGACCTTATTTTCATAGTCAGTGAGACAAATAAAAAACATTTACAAAAAGTCAAATATTCTATGGAGGTATGAGATCTTCGAATTCTCGTTTCTTTTGACGTCATCCCGTAATTAAAACATGATTGTCCACAAATACACGACAAGGGCTTCGGATTCTTGCCACACAACTGTACCTCATGAATTATTAATCATTGTTGATGGAATTAATTATTCATCACTATTTGTAATTTCCTGATGCCTGCTCAATGTGCAACATACAAACGGCATTCCAGCTATTGAAAGACCGAGTATGACGCGATTTCATGATGATTAAGTGACATTCCTTTTCTTTTCAGACGATACAATGAAGGTTTTTTTTTCTTGCTGAGATGGTTCTAAATTTAGCCAGCCTCCACCAGGCCTTCCTACAGGGGTGCTGATTGTAGCAATCGGCAAAAAAGGGAAATAGTTGGCCAGGAGAGTCAGTCCTTGCGTTAATTTCCTCCTTCGAAGGAGCCAAACTCCCCTGGGAATTTTTTTACTGCCCCAAGAGAAGCTAGAAGTCAAGCTGTTGTATAATTTGGTTACCTGAGTTATCTATGTTATACATACAATTCTCAGTTACTTCTGTTTAAGTATTAACTTATGTTTTATTATTTCTGTAAACTGGGCCCCACTGAAAATCAACTTGTCAAAGCTGGTGTGTGAAAATGAAATAAATAAATAAATAAACCCAATAAAATTAGCCAGTAGTGACCACGTATGCTGTAGAATGTAGTATAACATTGTACATAGTCTCTCATACCATTGTATTTTCTTTTTCATACACGTTGTTTGTATATGTAATTAGCTCTCGGGCATATATTTGCAATAAATTTTCTTCTATTATTATCCTTTTTGTTCAATTTTACTATTTTTGAACCCCCGGTGTTAGAGACTAAGACTTAGCCTCTCCTGACTTCCTGGTAAACTACGAAAATTATAGAAATTGTCCAACGTAGGAGAAATATTTTGCAGAGGTCCATCGAAGTACAAATGTTGCCCCTACAGAAAATGAGTTTTAGACTGACTAACGCTATTTAGACCACACCGTCTTAATTTTATGGATGACATCCTCTGAATACCTCTAAACTAGTGCGCGCGGGCGAATAAAAAAACTCCGACCAAAAATAAAAATGCTACTTAAAGCCACAGGAATGCAAAGCTGGTATTGTGAAAATGCGGCAGTACACAGCAAAGAAAACGACAAGTCGGCACATGCTGGCTTTTTGTATAATTTTTGAATCAACACTGTACGTATGTACTGAGTTCTTGAGTCGTGGAGCTTGAGTAGCCTGGTTGCCATCCTCCAAAGTTACCACCGGCTACGTATTGTCGCCAGCTACCATGGACTTAATCCAGGCCTGGAGCCAGGCCAGAGCTTTGGAGGACGTGATTTCTTTTTTTTTTTTTTTTTTAGAACAGGTGAAAATCAAGGCGCGCGTGGATGTCATCCATAAAATTAAGGCGTTGTGGCCTCAGCTAAATTTTAAAAGGAGCTTCAATTTCAAGCGTCTGGAAAGCACTCTGAGTAGTGTTTTTACTGTAGCGCTGTTGTGTATTGTGATAAACCCCCTTAGTGAGGACAGTGCACAACTATAATGCGTGTTTACGCTTCTGTGATGGTGTGATTGTTGACACACCAGAGGTGAGCTTAACCTGGGATTTTGGAGCCATGAATTTTACATTGAGTCCATCTCCTGACCGTGTGTAAATACATAAGGGCCTGCAGTGGGGGGGGGGTAGTGATTACGAAGTACGCAAAATTTTCGCCGCCGATTATACGAGTTACGTTAAATTCTGAGAGCTGATTTCGATTTTACGCTTTGCCGCTTATATACTGATTACGAATTACGTTGATTTTTTGCGAGCCTGCCTACGGATTACTACTAAAAGGCCAATTACGCCTAACGAAAAAGGTATGCAGGTCCTATATACCGCTACCCATGTCTGCACTGACCTCTTCTACAAGGACTTTTGTCGCAGGACAGGAGCACGACAACAAATGTGGCACTCTGGAAACTGTCGTGAATGTGTTGTAAGAAAGTCAGCTTATGACTTATTATATGACTTAAACTTGAAGTCAACTTTTTTTTGCTTATGTTTCTTGCTCCCAGGCGCACTATAATTGCAAAGTCTATAGGGCATTGGGGGGTGGGGGGACTTTTTGGAGCCAAAAGCCGGGACGTGTGCCTGATAAACAAAAGAAGGGCTGACATTGACACTGATGTTGAGTATTTTTCTATTGTCCCCAAAATGTCCCAAATTGTCTTTAGTTGTTCCAGCAGCCTAATCTTAAGTGGTCTGTGGCCATTGGACCAACTTTAATTCCGAGCCCTGACCAAGGCAATTTCAGAGATTATCTAAGTCATCTGTTCATATAGTAGGTTGAACCAATCCTATCCTGTAACATAATGATATCTAAGGTGCAAAAATGTGATGTCGTTGACGGAAAACGTTACTTGTTTCGTATTATACGACATGCTGGTTCTAGCTATTTATTGGTGGTACCCCAAAATAAAGGGACGCCTCGTATAGCTTGTTTCTGTGCTAACGCTTCAAGTATGAAATAATTATGAAAATCTGCTAAAAAAAAAAATAACAGTAGAGAAACAATATCAGCATTGGTCATCCAGAATATTTTTGTATCCCCACCCTGAAATTGCATGGAATAGCCTGGGTACCATTCTGGTTAGGCCACAGCAAGTAATCTTTGTACATTGTACGCGCGCATTGATTTTCACCCGATTTTGGAAAAAAAAAATGTTGCTCTGTGACAGTGGACAACCTACCGAAAATGGGTAAAAATGTGAAGAGAGGAGACAAGGCTCTGATTTTGTCTTTTACTTTTACGTATACCTTGTTGTATTGTTGTATTTCATTGGTTTAACGTCATATGTGATGTTGCCGATGAATAAAAAAATATTGTTTGACTTTTTTAGGATTTTGGCCTGCCTTGTTTTTTTCGCCCTATCGAATTAGATCGGAGTCTGCGGAGGATGTCATCCATAAAATATACTTGCTGTGGCCTTAGCTTACGTACACATGTATACACACGCGTAAACTAAACCAGGATGGTACGCAGGCTAGCATTGGATGGCTTGAACAATAGAAGATTTATAACTCGCCCGTCCTGCCCGAATCACGCACGGCGACATTCCGATCCGCCGGGTGCACACGCAGTGAGGCGGGCCGGGCGGGGAGGTGTGTTAGTTCAGCCCGACAGTCAGTGCTTACATGAGCGCCAGTCAGGAAACAGGTGCGACACACTCAAGACTTTACTCTTAGTACACCTGCCGCCAAGACTTTAGCCTGGATACAGCTGCCTCCAAGACGCTAATTTGAGTACATCTGCCTTCAAGAAGTAAGAACACCTGTCGCCAAGACGCTATCCAGAATCTACCTATCGTGAGTACAGCTACACCACCTTACATGGTGCATAGTTGTTACTCTCCAAGCAGAGGTTTGGGCTTGGGGTTATTTTTAGCGTGTTTCTTATGCTTTTTTGGGGTTTGGTGGGGAAAAAATCCAGTGCAAAAGAGAAACCCCGATAAAAAAGCCTAAAAACACGCTAAAAATAACCCCAAACCCAAACCTCCTTGGAGAGTACATAGTTGTCACTTCTGTTGAGAGCAATTATCACCTTTTTCCTGTGCCCTGTGATCTCACTTTGCAGGCGCTCCGGGGTGTTATTACCATGCCACTACTTACTACTCTATACACACTATGGTGCCCTGTTTTGTTTATTTGTGGGCTTATGTATGGCCAGTATGGTGTTTGTAGCCCTGGATGTGTTGTGCATCCGCATAGGTTGAACAAAGTAAAACACAATCGTCGAATTTCAAATACCCTCGATATACTAGTACTCATTTTGTAGGCGCTCCTGGGTCCTATTAACATGCCTCTACTTACTACTCTATACATACTATGGTGCCCTGTTTTGTTTATATTCTTAGGCGTGTGTATGGACCAGTAATGTATGTATTGTAGCCCTAGATGACTTGTGTATTCGCATAGATTAAACAAAGTAAAATACAATCGTCGAATTTCAAATGCCTTCGATATACTCATTTTGTAGGCGCTCCGGGGTCCTATTAACATGCCTCTACTTACTACTCTATACATACTATGGTGCCCTGTTTTGTTCATATTTTAGGCGTGTGTATGGCCAGTATGGTGTTTGTAGCCCTGGATGTGTTGTGCATCCGCATAGGTTAAACAAAGTAAAATACAATCGTCGAATTTCAAATGCCTTCGATAAATCCATTTGTAGGCGCTCCGGGGTCCTATTAATATGCCTCTACTTACTATTCTATACATACTATGATGCCCTGTTTTGTTCATATTTTAGGCGTGTGTATACCCAGTAATGTGTGTAGCCCTAGATGTGTTGTGTATCTGCATAGGTTAAACAAAGAAAAACACAATCGTCGAATTTCAAATGCCTTCGATAAATTCATTTGTAGGCGCTCCGGGGTCCTATTAACATGCCTCTACTTACTACTCTATACATACTATGGTGCCCTGTTTTGTTCAATATTTTAGGCGTGTATATGGCCAGTAATGTGTATAGCCCTAGATGTGTTGTGTATCCGCATAGGTTAAACAAAGTAAAACACAATCGTCGAATTTCAAATGCCTTCGATATACTCATTTTGTAAGCGCTCCGGGGTCCTATTAACATGCCTATACTTACTACTCTATACATACTATGGTGCCCTGTTTTGTTTATATTTTAGGCGTGTGCATGTCCAGTAATATTTGTAGTTCTAGATATGTTGTGTTTTCGCATAAATTATACAAAGTAAAACACAATCGTAAATTTTGAATACCTTCGATCTGCTAAGCCTGTGACAGCCTGTTTGACTCAATCAATCTATGCGGATGTACCTAAGAAGATGGATCACTAGCGATAGATAAGACGGGAAAATAGATAAAAAAACATAAATATTTGTGGATATCTTTGTTGCAAGTCCTCTAGAAAATTATATATTTCCATATAGATTCTAATGACTGCGCTCAAATGTTATAACAACACCATGCGTATCTAGATATCTCTCAGCAAAATTTGTGTCGTATCAGTTGTTGCAAAAAGTCTATAGAAAGAGGACAGAATTTGCGCCATGCGTGTGTGTGGTGGTAGATTGTTCCAGTCAATAGGTCCATGGTAGCCTATGGATCTTCTGAAGGTCTTTTGGCTTAGGTTTTTGGGACATCCAGTTAATTGCTTGTGCTTTGTTTGGTTGCTATTATGCTCTGGTCTCTACAGTTAAGAAATACATGACGCATGTAGGGTGGGTGCACCGGTGTTTGTTGTTTTGGGGGCTTTGTAGAATTGTTTGGCTTTGAAATGTTGGTATGTTGTATTTTCTGTTGTTGCCACTTGCGTAAAAGTGTGTCAGGGGTAATTAACGCTAGCCTGGTAACCAGTCTATCGGGGTTGGGGCAGGCTGTCTTCGGGACTATAATAGTCTTCCCCCGCCCAGTTCAACTGACTGCCCCGGTAGGAGTGCCTGTAGTAGGAGATTTGCACAACAGGAGTTTGTTAGCCCCACCACGAAAACCTACCGGGGAACCTAGCTGAGTCGGGCGGGGAAGAGCTCCTGCAGCCCCGAAGAGAACCCGCCCCAACCACGATAGACTGGTCACAAGGCTAGGGGTACCTAATACAAGTACCTGGTATTATAAGAGACACGGACTGTCCGTATCCCCTCGCTGTTTAACCACACCATATACAAACGCTTAAGTGCGGTCGTGTGACGTAACGCTAGTGTTCGACTCGGGAACAAGTGGTCCTGGGTTCGAGTCCTGACATGACGCCGATCTTGGGACCGGAAAGCCACTTTTAACACGATTTTCCTTACGTCGGTCGATCAGGTAAAAATGGGTACTATATTATCCTCTGTTGGTGACGGCATAAAAATAAGATGAATAAAAAAACTTGACTGTGTCGTCACCATATCTTGTGATACTAGTACATGTTGGAATTGTCAACCATGGGAAATAACCCAAAGATAGCAGGGCAAAATTTCCTTAGGCCACAGCAAGTAAATTTTATGGATGACATCCTCCGCAGACGACAAATCTAATGCGAGCGGGCGAAAAAAACAAGGCGGGCCGAAAAAAACAAGGTTCCTACATTTTAAAATTCTGACTCAATCATTGTAAAATGGTTTTGATTCAGTGAGAACATCACATATAGACAGCCAGCATCACATATCACTGTATCAAAGTAAGAAACAAAACATTAAATCAGAGCCTTTTCTTGTCTCCCCTCTTTATAGTTATCTGCCATCCACCTTCCGTCATGGTAACAGACATCTTTGCCCATTTTCGGCATGTTGACCACTGTCAGAAGGCAACAAAATTTCTTTTTTTTTTTTTAATCCAAAATCAGGCGAAAATTAATGCGCGCGCTGATGTCATCCATAAAAATTACTTGCTGTGGCACCATACGGAAACACCCAGGCTCAACAAGTTGAAGTACACAGCTGATATGTAAAACGTCGGATTGAATCAATGACTTGGAGAATGGCCAACAAAATACAGTAAACCACTACAAGATGGATGGACTAGTACCAGGGGAAGGAAGAAATGCATTATACAGAACAAAGCTATCAGATAGTGGAATTAGCCTTCGGGCATTCTTATCATCGAGATAGATACAAACAATGAAGTAATTTCTTCTTTCTTTGTACCAATCTGGATGTTTGCAATTAGCCTTAGGGTAAGAATTAAAAACGTGTTATGGTAATTATCCTCGTGTTATGCAAAATTAACTACTGGAAGTCATTAGGTTGAGGCACAGAATCTTTGGATTGCAAATGTTGATTGTGAGTTGTGAGTATGCATTGCTAGAGGCATTGTGAGCCACCACTGTGAGACTGTTTACTGTATCCATTTCTTAGAATTACCGTGAGCTGTACAAAAATATACCACCGATTGCTGAAACAATACGGCAAAGAAGGCTACCTCCAGTAGGTGCCACAGGAAAACCGCCGCTCGGCGCAGGTTGTTTACACGATAAAAAAATCGGTCGCACAAAACGCGCAGTGCGGCACTGCGTTTCACGCCCAACACATATCAAATTCGATGTTATACGTAACAAGCTATTTACATTTCTCGAATCAAGTACCATAGATTTTAAGAGTCTCGATGTTGAAGACGGATTTGAATATATCTTTACATGTAATGGTCCCCACAACGCAAAAATAGGTAGATATATAAAGGAATGCTTTGCTATTAGAACAAATACCGAAACTTGTGATTAGCCCACTCGATTGTAACACAAAGACTTGTGATATCCCTTATTATTTGAATGATTATGATATAGATATGTTAGGTTTTATTCGACATTAGGTCCTATTCAACACACTTATTTTATTGTTGTTACTCTCTTTATGTAGTTTGCCATACATTGTACCATGTGCAATTGTCGTGCAATAAAGTTATTCTTCTTCTTCTATAAACGACGTGTAAACCGGGCCTGTACTGTACAGATAGCCCGAAACACCTGACCTCTCACGTATGTGTCAACTCAAGGATATGGCTGGGGGCTGTATGGGGGGGGGGCGGTCCCGACAACGCTCTACGCTAAATTACGAAAGCCTCTCGATTACGCTTTACGATACATTACGTACAATTAAAACGGCGAATACGCTCTACGCAAAATGCGCCAATTCCGCTCTGCGTTGAATTAGAGCGGTCCGTCTACGCTCTATGTAGAATTAAAACAGTCGATTACGCTCTACGGAAAAGGACATGAGGGCCCACATGGCTGAACACCGGTCGCCCTGCCCCCGCCTTCCGCCTCGGTAAGTCAGCCCGCACAATGTACACGGACACGCCGGTGTTCAGCCAATGGTCCGCGGCCTCTCTTATGACAACAAGGCCATTGATCAGCACTACCATTCAAACAGCGGCTCTTTCACAGTCTTAGATAAACACTTCGCGGTGGATACACCACAATAAAGACGCCGTGTTCCTAATCTTCTGCAAAGTTTAGGATAAGGGCGACCTTTCAGATAGCCGCTTCATTACGCAAAAGAATAAAAGGGATTTTCGTCTTACGAATCCTGGTTGAGCTTTTTCTGAGCACAGTGCTCGAAATTAACGGTGTCTCGATGGCCACTGACCAGTAGAATGTAGGCCGGGACAACTAAAAAACACTTTGGGACATTTTTGGGACAACAGAAAAATAATCAACATCAGAATGTCAGCCCTTCTTTTGTTTATCCGGCATACGTCCCGGCTTTTGGATCCGGAAAAGACCCCTCAAATTTCCTGTCTACTCTGCAATTAAAGTGTGCATGGGAATGAACATAAGTAAAACAAAGTTGACTTCAAGTTTCATTCATACAATACTTAAAAAAACGGTTGGGACAGTTCATCCTCATTTCGGGAAAGTTAAAATTTATTTTGGGACAGTGCTGGGACGATAGGAAGAAAAGTTAATTTCGAGGCCTGTAAGCAGATCCAACCACGTACAAATCATAAATGTGGGAAACATTTTGTATGTTTTGTTTATTTTATTTCATTTGCACAATCAATACACATAACATGATAATGAATAAAATAAGCTTATGGAAAGATAAACAGTGTACAGGAGTGGGTCGGAGGACTAGTAGGCTTTTACTGAGCCCGAATCCTTTAGACGTAATAAATAATACATGAAGCTATAATAATAATGATTAAAAATAATTTAACGGATATTGCAGATATCGCAGATATTGCAGGTGCTTCAACAAAACAGTTCACAATGACGAAAATAATTAACGGACCGAAATATAAATTAATAAGACTGAAATATTTCACAAATTTATGTAATATGGTGGTGAAGCCATAAAAACATTGGTACATACATAGTTACAAAATGGATAAAAGAATGATGAGTGTAAAGACGATAAGTTGGTGATCTAACAATTATAAGAATCTACCTGTACAGTGATATAAATAAAGGTTTGAACAATGTCAAAAGGTGTTACAATTTTGTAAATGTGACGTGGACCTTCGTAGCAGTAAAGAACATAAAATACCCTCATTAAGATGCTGTAACTCTACTATTATTGGATATATATAATAACAGAGTACTTCTTCGTCTAACATATAGTCAACAGTATAGAAGGTGAATGAATGAATGAATGAATGCATAAATGAATGAATTAATTAATGAATGAATGAATTAATGAATAAATGAATGCGATTTTATTTCGTGTCGTGCGCTTTCCCGCGCCCAGCCCGTGTGGGCTTATACGACACCGATTCAATAAATTATACATAAACAAAATAGAATCAAAGGTACAGATAACAGAATCCAAACAAAATATGAACACAAATAAAGTTAGGCTATATACAATAATGGTGAACAAAGTGAACTCATAACAAATCGTAAATGCAAATAAACAAATCTGTACATAATGAACCAAGATCTCACAAAATAAATAAAAGTACATAAGGTAAATCAAAAGGTAGTGTTCGGTTTCACTATAAGAACCACATTTCAATTCCTATATGTTAGATCGTTCTCGTATACTTCTTCTGGCTATATGATAATATTTCATAATGTCGTTAAGAATAAACACCACAGTATTAGTTAAAATATCAAATTTGTTACAGCTTACAATCTGCTGCTAGTACATGTAAATAGATTAACTCTATGTGGATCGTTGCTAACTATTTTTGCAGTTAATATCAAAGCAGCGTTACAGACATAATATTTCATTATATAATATAGTAATATATATTATACAACTGCACGAAGACTAATTATTTTACCACAGTCAGGTTTGATTTTACCACAATCGGGTATAAATATATTTGGTTGAGGAGAGCACCAACTCAGAAAGTTGTCAAAAAGATTAGGGGTCCATCCCGGTGTGTGTGTGTGTGTGTGTGTGTGTGTGTGTGTGTGTGTGTGTGTGTGTGTTTCTCATACCTTACAGTCCTGTCTTACACAGCCTGTACGTACAAAACTGATGTGTTACGCCTAAGGCCACATTAATTTAATTTCTTGGTTAACGGATTCGCCCGCTTCATGTTTTTCTGATTTGAAAAAAAAAATCAGAATCAACTGCAAAAAGCTCATATTTTGCCCTGAACAGCTGAAAACAGTCCTTTTCTTCCTAGTTGTTACAGTTATTCCATTTTTCAATGCAGTGGCGTCATTAAAAGTTCAAAATTCATTGATTAAATTTTGAACCAGCCTGGTGTGTTTACTTCATGGCTTTATCGTACCATTTTGGGCCATAATAGGATGCCTAGGCCTGTTTTTATTTTTTTTCGCCCGCCCGCTCAATGTTTTTCTAGAAAAGTCCGTTAACCAAGAAATTAAATTGGTGAGGCCTAAAGGCGGTTTATTGGTTATGAAAAATACCTACATAATATTGCTCAGTTTCTTGGTGATCCATCCTCACCTCCATACAGATAATGACACTGACTAGAAACAGCTGTACTTGAACCATAATGTGGGTTTTTAGAGGATTTACTCACCCTCTCAGACTGATAGCAACCTGATATTGTCTCATCATGACTAGCTGTTACATCAGCTGTCCTGTGTGTTGCTGTTCCCCTGTCAGATGCTAGCTCTTTAGGGTTTGTTGCTAGAATATCCTCATTGCTATATGTATGCTGTGATAAGTTTTCAGCTATTTCTGAGTCATGCTGTGCAATACCTGATGCTGTCTCATCATGACTAGCTGTTACATCAGCTGTCCTGTCTGTTGCTGTGCCCCTGTGTGATGCTAGGTCTATAGGGTACTGTGCAGTACTGACTAATGATCTGCTTATTGCCTGGGACAAAGCTACTGTTGCCTGATCAAGGCTGGTGTTGGTGTTTATGGATGCCAATACGTTAGGGTTTGGGACTGTATGGTCAGCTGGAGACGTGTCTACATCTCCATATGTGTTCTGTGAGCCAGCGGCTGTTAATTCATACTGTGGATTTACCAAGTGTTTAGTGATGACCTTAGACTCATCCAATGCTGTCTGATCTTTGCTAGCTGTAACAGCAGCTGTCCCTTTGTCATATTGCGGGTTTGTTAATGATGTACTTACAACCAGAGTTTCAACCATTGCCCTGTGACCTAGGCTATCTGTTACAGTAGACGTGTTATTTGCAGTTGGGGAGCCATTTGAGTTTGTATCTGTAGGGTTTAATGTTGGGATATCTTCATTGTCATATATATGCTGTGGTGTTGGGATATCCGCATTGTCGTATGTATGCTGTGAGACCGATGTCTCAGAGTCATACCATGGGTTTCTACGTAAATCTGCAGACGAAGCGACTACCGCGAGTCCAGTGTCATTGCTAGCTGACACATTGTTTGTGGTATTTGAAACAACGCCGGGGTTTTGATGTAAAGACCGATTCGTTGCCGTCCTTTTGTACCATACCACGAAGAGCATGATGCAAAAGAGTACATTGCCAGATAAAGTGATACAAACAGATCCAACAAGAACGGTTAGGGAGAAGCAAGGGGCTGACTCTAGATTACCGCTGTTTTCTGGTTTGCCGCCTTGTATTGTAAGATTGTTCAACTTGTCAAGATGGAGTTCTACAGACAATGTGGAAAATGTGAAGCCATAAGAACTCGCTGCTATACAAACATACAGACCAGTTACATCTGCGCTAACGTTCATGCCGATGGTACCATAGGTAGCCCCCCTCCCCCCTGCTCGAACGCTTTTGTTCAATCCAGAGGGACAGATCACAGTGATCGTTGGTGTGGGGACACCTGAAGCTTCACAGACCAGACTCTCCTCCTTTGTTGATGAGTTATAATATTTGTTTCTCTCAAACCTGACAATGTTCAGTTCTTTTGTTGATGAGTTGTAATATTTGTTTCTCTCAGACCTGACAATGTTCGGTTCTTCACGATCACAATACATCTGAAGATCGATATCCTTCAGTTTGCGCCCATAGAAGTTGTCAGGTTTGGAACAAATGATTTGGTTCTCAAAATAATTAGACCCCGTCATTTGCGACCTAAAGGGAAGCATGCTACAGTCACACTGCCAGGGGTTGTTGTTAATGTCTACCTTAGAGATAGATGACAACTTTTTATGGGCCATCATGGGAAGTACTTCCATTTGGTTGTATTGCAGGTAAAGATCAGAAATGTTTTGCAAATTTGACAAATGTTCAATGGGAAACACCTTGATCTTGTTGTTTCGCAAAATGAGCTTTGAGAGACTTGTAAGCTCTGCAAATGTTCCCTCTTCAATGACAGAGATTTGATTATGCATAATATTAAGGGACAGTAAGTTTCCTAGCCCTGTAAACATGCTAGCATTGAGCCTTGTTAGCTTGTTGACACACAGATACAAGGTTTTAAGCCGTGGAGTTGGAACAAATGTTTTAGCCTGGATGTCACTTATGGCATTCATGTGTAGAGCCAAGTTTTTCAAGTTATCCAACCCTGTAAACATCCCAGCTCTAACAACTGTGAGTTTATTCCGAGTCAATTTTAAGGTTTCAAGTCTTGAAGTTGAATTAAACGCCCCATCCTGAATAATATATATGTTGTTATTCCTAAGGTGAAGTGTTCGCAAATTCTCTAACCCCATTAACGTATTAGATTTGAGGTCTGTTAGCTTGTTGTCATTCAGGTACAAGCATTCTAATTTTAACAACGTATTAAAAGTTCCTGCCTCGATACTATTAATGCCATTATAGCTCATGGAAAGAGTTTTCAAGTTTCCCAGGCCTGTGAAAATGTCATTTTTCAAGTTTGTTAGTAAATTGTAGTCGAGATTTAACGTATTCAAGTATTGTAAAGAATGGAACTTGAACTGATCTAAACTTGTGATTAGATTA